GCCACCATTAAGAAACTCTCAAGATAGAGAGAGTGTAAGAATCTCAATCACATACTGTTTTCAAGAAAATAAAAGATAATTGTTCCATCAGTACTTACAGTAAGACTTCCACACCGGTGGCCTGTATTCATCATGATCTGAGGACAGAAAAGTACAACATCTTAACCAGCCGCAGTTCCTCAAACTTGATCTGCTTTCCTGCAGCGCACCCAAGTGGACAAAACATGATATTGACCAGTGCTGATTTTCCGACATTAACCACCAACCAGTAAGCTCAGGATTCTCTCATTTCATTTCATCTTCCTCCTTATTTTAAATTGTGGAAATAACAGTGAGTGTCTAACTGAGGGTGCAGGGGGAGCTTAACGTACAGACAAAAACAGGCATTTTACATTCAATCAAACTCAAAGCTCAATTACTGTTTTAATGGATGAACTGGATACCAACCAGGCTTTCGGAGCAATCACATGATTGTCATGGCTGAACACTAAAACTGCTAAAGGAAATGTTGCAGTTTTATTAATGCCACTGCCAAATAAACAAGCTAAAAAAGCACGGCGTTAAGTTAAGAATTTCAGCCACTTTATTTATTATAGTTTATGTGCTTTTACTTTTGAGATATCAGACTGATGCATGGTGAATTTTCCCACAACAAAGACATCACTAAACGATGACTAAGTGACTTAATAAGTAAATCTACTCGGTGGAGCATAAAAACCTGTGAAAGATTCATTTATATCACTTTGCAAAAGTGTAATGAAATGTAAATTTGCTTTCACTGTGATGTTTATCTTTCTTACACTCAGGCAAGCTTACGCTGTCATCCCCCTCAGGCCTACACGTTTAAAATGATTTGCAGACAATATCAGCTTTAGAGCAGTGTTTCCTCGTTGTTCGTCCAGCTGCTGCAGGCCATAAACAACACTGACATTAATATGAGAGTAAGTAAGTGTGACTCTGTGCAGCACCAGACGCTGAGAAGAACAAAATCATATTCAGCCCTAAGCACTCCACTGGAGTTTGGCTGAACTCTGCAGCAGTTACGGAACATTTGTACACTGTGATTACTGTGAAATCCTTTCAGGTTCAAATTCAGTGCTGTGTATGTTTATTCAGTGACTCATTGTGGCTCATAGCATGAAGCAACTGTGCAAATTCACAGCAATGGTGCAGGACACAGTTTAGGATAACATTAATACTAAAATTCCTGCTGCATAAGCATGACAAAAGTCAGTGCTGGGTACTACACTGTTTTTATGTAAAATATAAAATACAAATGCCTTGTTTCTTTCCTTAAAAATGGAAATGTGCAAGATGACCTGAAACTAATTCCTGAATCAGCCATGTACAATAACTTTGTCTCAGAAATAAACTTGCTCCACCTGTACATTTAAACATTTGTAGGAAATACACTCATTCTGATGCTGAAAATGAATATGCTTATATTGAATATGCTTATGCTTATATTCAGCATCTTGCAAATTCAGGCACATGCTGTCTTCCATCTTCTCTGCATGGGTAAAACTAACAGCCTGTTTCCTGTCTCAGTGTACTCCACAAGCCTTATCTATTCAACACTTGTCGTCGTGGTATCCTGTCTTCAAAATAACTCCAAATCCTCCCCGGGCAAGCGTCTCACACTCCTTCTCAAGGCAACCCTTATACTCACAAGAAAGCAGACATAACATAACGACTAGTGACAACTTGTAGTGTCTGGAACAGGGGTGGACAGAAATAAAGTCCAGTGCTTTTTACTAAAGTACTGCACTGACAGCATTTTACAGCTAACACTACTTACCTAAATATTTGAAGGAAAGACTTGTACATGTTTTGTTGACATGTTTTCGTCATGTATTTACACAGCATCATTTTGTTCACTTCTGGTCTACAATAACTACAATATATCAATGGTGTGTCCTTCTTTAACTAAGTAAATACAGAAATACAACAATGTAAAAGCCCTGCATTTTAAATGTTGCCTAAGTAAAAGTACATTATTAGCAAAGTACTTTCATTAAGCAGTAGAAGGTGTGTGTTTATATTGTTAAATATTATTAAATATTATGTAATTAACAATTATAGCTGGTGCATTACAGTGTAAGCAGTTTAATTTAATAGGTCAGGAGAAAGCTAATTTAACTACTTTATGCGCTTTTGGCTAGTTAAATCTATAAAATACATCAACTTTTACAAGATGATTTGGATGTACATGTAGTAGACTAAGGTGTTCATTGGTTAAGTAAGTTATAAAGTAGCACAATATGGAAATACTCAAGTATTCTAGTGCTTCAAAAGTGCAGAGTAGAGTAACGTTACTTGAATGAATGGACTCATAGTTGTGCTCCATGGCTACTGGATCCACAAGATTTCTAGGAGCCTCTCCCAGTTTTACCAAAATAAATGATGGCTAACCACAATGGGCAGTAGACTGTGCATCAGTGTACCAGCCACCAAGCAAAATACACACCGCCAGTACACTCAGCAACAAAACAAGAGCCGAGATCTGCTTACCAAAAACATTTAGGGCCATCTTGATTCTGTGATATGATGATGATGATGATGATGATGAAGAACAATTAACCAGCAGATGCAAATATCCAGCAAAACGGACCCACTCAGTTTAAATCCTGAAAGAGAACAGACAAAAAAGAATAAGGTGAAAGTATTAAACTGCTGACTATGGTGAGCTACCCTGGTTAAAGTGAAAACAGCTGAGTAACGATAAACAATAAATAGTCCAAGCTCATATTATAGTGAGCTAACGTTAGCGGCGTCGGTCAGCGTTACTTTAGTTAACGGGCTTAAACAGACAAGACTAATGTTTTTTTAAACATCACACTGAATAGAAAACATTTGCTTTGTCATACAAGTGTAAGTGCACCGTCTGCGTGTGAAACTATACCCTGGTTTATTAATGTAACGCTTGGCTAATAATACTCACATTCACGTCCATTCTACGTTGTGGTCGCCATCTTGCTGGGTCACGTGAGCAGTCTCGCCCTCTCTCCACGGTAACTATGGCAACGGATCTTGCCGATGCTGCTTCACCGTAAAAAAGACATCGCCATTACCGATTTAAAGTTGTTGTTGTTTTTGTATGATATAGTAAGTTATGTCACACTGTCCTAGTAATATAGGCAACGAAAGCAAACGTTATGTTTTTAAAAGGTAACTAGCGAAAGCTCCAGGCCTGTTTAACTAACCGGACACGTTAATTCGTGGTATTTATCAGCTTTGTCGGGGTAGCAGAGTATCCGCATCACAAATACTGAAACGGTATCATTCCCTTCTAAGTCGAAAGCTATGGCCGGTTAGCTCAGTTGGTTAGAGCGTGGTGCTAATAACGCCAAGGTCGCGGGTTCGATCCCCGTACGGGCCAACTTAAAATTTTCCATAATGTCTAACGCACAATCGGGTGCGCTTCAAAGTAAAAGTGAAGACGTACTGTTTTTCCCTGTAAGTACCATCAGTTTCATTACAATATAATATAAAATACAGTAAAATTAGGTGTGAAAAGCGCACACAGCTGCAAATTCCCAGTGTATAATTAGAAATATTGTTTTAAATTTAACAGAACATGTACATGCAATTGCAGAACAGCTGGTGGAAGAAGGAGTCAGACTTATTTTTGTAAAAGTAGCAATACCATATCCTACAAATACTCTGTCTCTGGTCTGGCAATAAAACTGCCTTTGTATCACTAACAAAATATACTCAATATGTAGGCCTACTCATAATTCAGAAATATTGCCCTGTAAATATGTAGTTGGCATATATTGTCATCCATCCATCGTTAACCGCTTATCCTGTGTACAGGGTCGCGGGGGGCTGGAGCCTATCCCAGCTGGCATTGGGCGAAAGGCGGGGTACACGCCAGTCCATTGCAGGGCCTATATTGTGTTTTCATAAATTATATTACTGTAATATTATTAATAATATTACTGTGTAAGCAACATCTCACTGTTGTAGAGGGTCATGGTAGAGCTAATTTATACAATCATTTAGCTATTTTATACACTGTCTGGTAGTTTGTCTATAACAATGTATCATATTCTTTAAACTCATCATTTCGCATGTAACATCTTAATTTTTTAAGTTACTGGTATCTGTAAAATAAATGTAATATAGCACATTATTTCCCATTGCAATGTAATGGGGTAAAAGTACAAAGTAGCATTCCATGAAAATACTTGCTAAAGTACTCCAAAAGTAGTACTTCAGTATAGGCTACAGTACTTTAGTAAATATATTTACGTTTCCTGTATATCTGTATATAGCCAGTGTATGTAAAAAAAAACTGGTAAAATTACGTAATTTAAGCAGCATACACTATGTGCACATCCTAGGTTTTATTAAACAAATCATATTGAAACGTTTATTACTGCACTGTTGTTTTGAACATATCTAATTGTGGTACCATTCAAACTTTGGTTTAGAAAAAAAAGAACAATATTATTTTAAAGCTTTCCAATACATCCGGTGCAAAGTCTATATTACTAACACAGTACCGCATCAACTCTCCTTAAAGAAAAGAGACAAGATGTTTCTAAGAGGCTTGCTTTATCTGATCTTTTAAATTAATAATGTTAGTTTCTCTGATTAATAGTCTACTGTCATATGTATCTAAATGGAAACTATTCGACTAATAGATCTTATTGAAACCCTTTGCCTCCACACCGCCGGTTTCCCCAAACCACCATGAGGTGGCGCTGTTTATCCGTCCTGGGTGCCCTCTCCCTCCGCCTTGACAATGTAGCGCCGGGGTGCCTGTGCTGGAGGCGGCGCGCTGCTCTTTATTGTTCCAGTAGAAAGCTCCTTGCACGGCTTCCCACAGTTGTTTCAATGGCTACCGCACAGAAACCACGTCCCACCTGAGAGGGAGCGGCTCGGACTTAAGCAACCCAAAACTTGGACTGTGTGAGCTCCAGCGTTGGGAATAAAAGCTCGCACTGACGGACAATCTGTGGATCCTGGAGAAAGAACGTGGGGGGGGGGTAAGGAAATCACGCTATCTTGGATTATGAAGCGAGGTTACATGTAGCCTCCCCTTGCGCGGTGCACCCGTCTGTTTAGACTCAGACAGTTTTTATTGCAATATACGTTTCCTGTTTAAACACTAAACGCTTCTTAGGCTTCGCGATGTTTGACGAGCTCGACATCTTAAGTATAAACTAGCTCCGATTGCAACCAGCCTGCTCATTTTCCTAATCGGCTGAGCTATAGGGGGTCCTGCAGGGAGCTTCTTTTACTGTAAGCTTCTATTATAGACAAGGATCGCCTCCTCCAGTAAGTGCTTTAAACATTTACATGTATTTCCCCTCAGTTATTCCCTGCCTTCACATTCACCAAACCTTGCAATAGGCTTTTCTCTTCATTCTCAATACACATAATATTGAACACACACACCAACCAACCAACCCTGTTTCTTGAGTGTGATCAGGTTGCTTTAGCCCAGTGACATCTTTTACTCTGACCTAAAGGATTACTCTGCTAACCTACATCCTGGGGCTTGCACTCTTGCCAGCTGGACTCTTGATGTGTGTGTGTGCCTTTAAATGTGCCTTATATAGGAATGTGTCTGCTTTATTTCACTTGACAAAGCTGCTATATGTTGCTCTTCCTAGGCCCTTGGTATTGTCACAGGCAAATATACCCACACCCCCCCTGAAGAGTGTAGCCCATTTGCCACCTATGAGGTGACAAACAAATCCCTTTCCTTTATTGATCTTAGAGGGACATGTGCTCTGTTTACCCCCCCCTTTTCCCATTTCAGGGTGAGGCCAGAGCACAGGGTCAGTGGAGAAGCAGCAGCCATGAGCAGCATTGTCTTCCTCTTCATTTTGCTAATGGTTGCATGGGGGTTCTGGTGGAAGCGTGGTCTTCCCAATCACAGTGCTGCTCTGTTGTCATCCATTCACTTCTGAAATCAATATTGCACCCACAACGCCAGGAGAGCTGGTGTTAACACTCTTTCTTTCTCTCACACATAAACCTGCAACCTCACAATAGCAACTCTCCTGAGGGTAGTAGAGTAGCTTAATGGCTCCGTGAGTGCAGAGTGTCACCTTGACAAAACATGGTATCAAGCGCCACCATTGATCTGTCAAGGACCAATGTTGTAAGCGTGCTGTGTTGCTGCCTTGATCTCACCGTCACCTGTGCTTGTCAGGTTGTAGTTGACGCCTCTTGGTGGTTTAATCAGATAGTGTTCAGTGATTAGTTGTTTATACCATGCGATCTTCTTGTTGTAAAAATGGCATCAAGTAACACATTCAGGTGATGGATGTACTCCCTTTATGGTCCTTTAGCAGTTCTTTCCTTTTTTTCCCCCCTGGAGATTCATTCTTCACCATAGGAAAAACACATTGAATGTGGTAAATATTCTGAATGCAAGGTCCACTTGCTTAGCTATTCCCAGAGCTTTTGATTGGATCCCACATCATTCCTCAGTGAATGCAACATGCATGCACGTTACTTCAAGTGATAACACAACGTCGGGGAAATAGCTGAGTACGTTGATCTTGCATTTAAAAGATACACCACATCAATTTATAGTCATTTTCTAATGGAAATCCAAAGTCGGCCTTTCGAATTGATCCACATATCCCTGCAGTTTCCCCTCCGCTTTTGTTTGTAGTACAACATTAGAGTTGAATGATTTTTTAGATTTAGCAAAAATGGCAAATAAATCCCTGGTTGCAGCTTCTAAAATGTGAATTTGTGCTGGTTTCTTGTCTCTTTTTAAATAAGTTTATTAGTAGGAAACTGAATATCGTTGGTTTTTGGACTGTTGGTCGGACAAAAGAAGACATTTAAAGACATTAACTTGGCCTTTGTTTTGGCATTGTTTTTATTTAATGTTCACTGCCATTTTATAGACAACATGGTCATTTGAAAAACTATTCATCATTCATTCATTAGTGGCAGCCCCTCACTACATATAGGTAGATCAAATAATTAAAATAATAGGAAATGAAAAGTGCTAACTCTCCAATAGAAATACTGCTACAAATTTAATTTCAATTAAAAGCCTAGTCCCAATTAGACACCAGTTTTTATTTATTTATTTGTTTTTTACTGGCCTGGTGTGGCTACACGTTTTGAAAAATAAACGCAAGTCTTAATTAGAAGCCTGGTCTGGTTTTTATATAAGTTCTTTGGATGTATAAAACCAGCCCTCCAGGTCACCTGCTTGAGCTAGTTCTAAGCTGCTTAGATTGTGCCTACCAATATAAATGTTTAAACCTTTGTCAATATGGAAATGCTTGTTCAGTTCATTTTACGGAAACAACAAGCACCAAAGTATTCATTCAGATTTAGTTGAATGGTTGGTCGGCCTTTCTCTCTCTGTGCTTGAAGGCTGTCTATAGGAGCTAGATCAAATAAATGATTCGCAAGTGATGTATTAGGCCTATCCGATAGCATAATTTCTATACAAGTAATATTCACACTGGTTGAAATAAACAATTTGAAAGTAGCCTATTTCCCATCTTTACTGGACAAAAAATTGTGGAAAAGGAATGAAAGCCCTGTCCAAAATATAGGCCAGGTGAGTTTAGTGATTGATGCAAATAAAAGCCCCGGCTATTAATTGAAGTTTTACTGTAGTTATCTCAGCTGTGTAATAGTGAAACCCTTTATGTGTCAAATACTATCCTATCCCTTTTAGTTACCTCTGATCCTGAATCTGTACTCCTTAACATAATCAATAGTTGCAGGTTTTGACCAGTGCACTTACCGGTCTGTGCATAGACGATTTAGTTTCTTTATCTCATGGTGCTTTGAAAATCCTCTAATCAAAGAAGTGATTGTGAGACCTGTTTTACAGCTGGCAAATATCGCCTGTTATGCAACCTCCATGGGAATATTCTAATACAGATTATGTAAGGGTTCGTTTTCACTTAAGCATATGTGTTGTGCTCGATTATTAATTCTGAATAACAAAAGGATTAAACACCAGATTTGTGATCTCTTAATTCCTGTAAAACATAAAGCTTTCTCTGTAGATGCACTTGTGTGCACACTCGCATCCGATTTCCAGAACCTGGCTTCCCTCTCACAAACTCTTGGGAAACTTTCAGCTCACAACAGTTCAAAGGCTGGTTGAGAGGCGTCAGTCCCTCAAGCCCCGCTGCTGGAAGCTCCCACAGTGGCTTCCTTTGTGCCTGTGTGAGCAGCTCGCTCTGTATTCCTCTCTTGCTCAACTAACTCCATGTATAATCCCGAGCCCCTATTGAGGAGCCGATGAAACTTCTGCCTCCAAATTTCCACCCCTTAGTTGTGAAACTGAAAGTCTTAAATCAATCTAGTCAACATTTATGATTTTGTTTATGAGGGAAAACTCATAAACTATTGCAGGCCCAGGATGAGCTTGTTAGACACTGTATTCCTAGTTAGACGTGTGCCATATAATATAGTATTATAGGTATAATCTGCAATATTCTGACTTGTTGACATATTGACATCATACCGCTACGCACTGCAACAACAAGCATGGCTAAAAGCGAAAGTAATGCTGCTACCGGCTCCACATTGGAGGAGTTAGTTCCCAAAAGAGGAGCGACTCCAGTAGTGTGGAAGACATGTGACTTGATTGTAAAAGATCAGATGTACAGTACAACAAACCACGGTAAGATGTGAGAAGAGCAAGATGACCGTAACAACAAAAGGGGGCAACGCAACAAAATTATTTCACCAGCTGGTTGAGTACAAGGAGAACCAAAAATCCAGCGAGGGGAATTCAACGGCTATTGTGAGTCCTAAACCAAAAATATTTTTCAATATTTTATCATATTGTCAAGAATATCATTATCGCATGATATATTGTGATATTATTATAGCCCACCCTTAATTCAAAAATTAGAATTCAACCAAAATAAAACCTGTAAAAGTTAAAACAGTGTACATTTAATGAAACACAACACAAAATGCTAATTTGATATATAAATCTCTTTTATGTTGTTGTTTTTTTTTAAAGAAGAGGAAAAAAAACAGGTGGTAAATTTTTGTCACCCCTTTCAAGATTATTTTTCATTTTCATTATTCTTGTAGTATCGCCCACCCCTCTTAGTCACCGTTTAACTGTGGAAAAGTACTCTCTCTCTATAGTTGCTGTTATGTGTTTGTGGTTTAAAAGCCTGAAATGTCCTCTGTGGATCCCCACGTGCCCCTTGTTGATGAGTTTGTCTTGAGAGAATGAAGACAAACCAACCCCGCTGTCGGCAGAATATGACCCGCTGATGTTTGTCAGGGTAATTAGCACCTGCCTTATTAGGTAGGGCTTTAAAACTGGCTGTGAATTGAGGGTGACCCTAACGGAGTGAGTGTGGGCCTTCATGAACAGATTATTGAAGCATTTCTTCAGGAGCTTTTTGTCAAGATAGCATTGAAAATATTCTCCCAAGCTAGCCCATGCTGAATTATAAATGAACAGTCGAGCAGAGTGTTAATTTTAGTGCAGTGGGGAAGTAGCACACAGGAACAAATGACTGTTCCCACAGGTGTAATGAGTAACTTGAATGTCAGGTCCCTTTTATTGTCAGGTCACTTCCTTGGCCGGGCTCCAGTTTCCAGTTACAGCTTTTGTCACTGTTGGGAAGCAAGGTACTTGTTTGTGCATGCAGGTGGAGGGATTAGTAAAGCTCACTTCAGAAATAAAAAATTAGATCAGGTGTAAAAGTACAAAGAGGAAAGCTGTCTTTATAGTTTCTTTGCAAGTTATTGCATGTGTTTTTCTGTGTGTTAATCCCCCCTCCCGTGAGAATTATACAGTACATTTTTTGAGGTAACTGATTCAGGAAGAAGAAGTGAATCTTTTTCACAAGTCCTCTTTCACAGTGAGGTCAGAGGGCAGCTACAGAGCAGCGCCCCCAGAAGCTTGTGGGCATTCGCTGGCTGTGTGCCATTTCCGGGGCCTCTTCCTTCGGACTATCTGGCCTTCGGAGGACTGAAGGCTCTGCAGTAGGGCCGCAACTAACAATTATTTTCTTCAGCAATTAATCTGCTAGTTTTTGTCTCTGTTAGTTTTTTGTCCTATAAAATGGCAGAAAATAGTTATAGCTCCCTGTCACTATTTCCCGAAAATTTGATCTTGAAGTTACTTTCTTTGTGTGACCATCAGTTCAAAATCCAAAAATATTCTATGTGATCATATAAAAAGAGAAAATAATCTAAACGCTCACACTGGAGATGCTGGAACCAGTGAGTGATATGTATTTTTGCTTGAACAAATGACTTAAAGGATTCATCAATTATCCTAATAGTTTCAGATTCATGTTCTTTGTTTGCTTAATTGTTTCAGCTGTACACTGTGGGATGAACCTGCACCCTGCCCTCTGGTGCACAGAGGCTTCACAATAGTGTCGTTTTCCATCCCGTCTTAGCCTCACATAAAAAAGTGACCGGCACTGGATTTTAGAACAGTCTACAAAAGACCGCAAATTATACACCAGTTTCATTCTCCAGATTTGGGCTGTAATTCTCAGGCGCATTTGGAGGAGACTTTGGAATCGAACAGGCCCATCAACCTGATGACATACTGTCTTTGGTCTTGAAATATGGACCTTACATTGGACATCCACCCACTCTCACACAGGGTGGATCGTTTGCTATCATGTAGTGTTTGATGAAGGTCATCCCTGCTCATGTGCCACCTATTTGTCTCTAAATATTTACAACTCTCTGTTTATACGGATACACAGTGTTGCTGGTGAGGAGGGAATGGCTTATTTTTCACTTTAGTTCAACCAATACTTTTTTTTTGTTTGTTTTTTTACATAAAGACAACAGAATTACATACTGAGTGGGAGGTTTTATAGTTGAAAAATCAACTTGCCACAGCTCTCTGTTTGACAAGCTATGCGAGTTTTCTGTTTTGACTGACATTTCTTGTTACTTAATAGCCGATATATACACTGATTTATCCGCCTAGCTGTATTTTTCACCATTAAGGTTGCATTGTGTGTTTCTTAAATGATGACGAATGCTGATTTGGAGAAGACCTCCTAGAGAGGATCCTAGCGCGTGACTACAAAGAAAGATCTAACAACCTGTTAATCAACAAGATGTCCAATAGGTCCCTAATCACATATAGATTTATTGACACGTAATGTTGTAATGCCTCTGGGCATGACTAAATGTGACTGAATTGAGGACAAAACAGCACTTTTACCTGGGAGAAGGCAATTTGTTTTGTGTCATTTTTATTGTCCCGTACACTACCCATGCACTGACACACCATAAACCCCCCTGTGTGTGTGTATGTCAGGGCAGATCAGCAGTGTGTAACCCACATCCCTGCATTGCCCCCTTGACTGTCTTCTAAAACATTCCTCAGCTGTGATGTCACCAACCGTCTAAGAGCCTAGTTATTGTCTGAGGTTGAGGTTTATCAAGTGTGGGATAGAAGTGGGGGCGCTGAAAAGTTTGTGCGTGCGTGTTTGAATCTGAAAAAAAGAGGTGGGGGGTGTGTGTGTGTGAACGTCTTTGTGTATTCTCAGACCGTATCTCATCCGCAACATTTGCGAAGCATTGATTCAAGTCTGAACTGGTCTTAAGGCAGAGCTCTGGGCCTTCGGTTTGTAGGAAACACAGGCGTGCAGCTGGAATAAGCGTCTAGCAAAGGTGTGAGACATGTCTGTCTGCCAAACTCTAATTTTAGCTGTCACATTGTTTGAGGCTGTTCCTGTCTGTGGTTTATACACTCATCTCATCATCCTGGCCAATGTAAAATCACCACTGGAAAGCTCACTGACTAATGTCTGGTACTTTTTTTCATGCATTTCTTGAACTAATTAAGCACAAAGTTTCCCTCCAAGCATGGTTTTATAAATTGCCACGACAGAACCTCTGACTCCCTTCTTAAATATAAGACAGTTTTTTTCTCCCACATTTAAGAAAGTTTATTAACCTTCATTTTCTCTGGGAAAGTTGGTGCAGGGTCTCATTTGGCCTGTTTCCTCTCTAAATGCAGATGTATTTTTTCATCTGTCAAACACCCACCAAATGCCCTGATACTGCCCTGAATGTCTCAACAGAAATTGAGAGTCATCAGACCAGGCAACATTTTTCCAGTCTTCAACTGTCCAATTTTGGTGAGCTCTTGCAAATTGTAGCCTCTTTTTCATATTTGTAGTGGAGATGAGTGGTACCCGGTGGGGTCTTCTGCTGTTGTAGCCCATCTGCCTCAAGGTTGTGCGTGTTGTGGCTTCACAAATGCTTTGCTGCATACCTCGGTTGTAACGAGTGGTTATTTCAGTCAAAGTTGCTCTTCTATCAGCTTGAATCAGTCGGCCCATTCTCCTCTGACCTCAAGCATCAACAAAGCATTTTCGCCCACAGGACTGCCGCATACTGGATGTTTTTTCCCTTTTCACACCATTCTTTGTAAACCCTAGAAATGGTTGTGCGTGAAAATCCCGGTAACTGAGCAGATTGTGAAATACTCAGACCGGCCCGTCTGGCACCAATAACCATGCCACGCTCAAAATTGCTTAAATCACCTTTCTTTCCCATTCTGACATTCAGTTTAGAGTTCAGGAGATTGTCTTGACCAGGACCACACCCCTAAATGCAATGAAGCAACTGCCATGTGATTGGTTGATTAGATAATTGCATTAATGAGAAATTGAACAGGTGTTCCTAATAATCCTTTAGGTGAGTGTATCTTACAACCAACACAGAGGATGCGACGTATATGTGTGCTATTTAGGATGAGGGCTTATGTAGAAGATTTGATGTTAGAGGAAGTGTCTGATCCTTCTGGCTTCAAACTGCCTACTGTGTGTTTAAGATAAAAATACCAAAATCACAGACTGAACATTGTTGTCTTTGGCTTGAAGCACATAAAAAGACCCAAAGTGCAACGCCAAAACCCCTAAAAATATATATAAAACTGTTCTCTCCTTTCTCCTCCAGACGTGAACAGAGGTTCCTGCAGCTTGAGAGCCCTTCACTGTAGCATCCGTCACCATGGTCGAACCAGCCGACAGGCCGTCTGCGGCCGCACAGAGGCTGGGCACCCCTGAGAGTTTTGGGGTGTCCACCTTGGAGCCAGGCCTGCGTCCTCCTGCCCAGCCTCCAGGGCGACAAGTCTCCATAAGGGTTCAGATGCTCGATGACACACAGGAAGTCTTCCAGATATCGGTGAGTAATATGTGTCAGATTCGGCTTACGTGTTGTTGGATGATTACAGACATAATTCAGAGACTTTGTTGCCGTTTCCGGAGTGATTTTAAAATGAGTGTGTGTAGGTAGGCGCACAGTGCACCATCCTCCTTAATTTAAAGTTAAACTAAAAAGACATATCAATATTTTCAGGATGCCAAACATATCCCTTATTAGTCTGTTAGCTTATTGTGGTATAGCTGTGGTCCTTATAAGCAAAATAAACCATCATGGTTGGTTGTTTTACTGCAAATAAGCGACCCGTACATAAAAGTTGGGTTATTTTCTATTCTACCATTTTTTTTTTTTTTCTTGTTCTTGCTGTAAAGTGTTTACTGGTCACCTGTGTTTTTCATTGGACTACATTCATTTTGGCCCATTTTATTTACTGGTTATGAGGCTGTAAGGCTACATTTGCTGTTAGTTAAACCAAAAATCTCACATTGATATGGCATCCATATGTCTGTCTGTCTGTCTCAGCCTCCTGCACCCACACATTAATGGCTGATGCAAATCTTCAAAAAGGTGGAATAAGACACAAGAGATGTGGCTCATCAGTGGGGACATTCAGATATTCTTTCTTTAAGTCCCAGTGCAGTCCGGCACTAGTTTACCTTGAGTCTTATCTCATATCTCCACTTCCTGGAGATACACAGGAAGAGGGACTGAAGCCAGCTTCCTGTCTAAGCACACCACACCTACAGGCCCCTGCTGCCTCATAGGCAGACACAGACACTGCAGCCTTCACTCCCCTCTGTGTCGTCATTTCAGCTTTTCTCTCACTGCATCCCAGCCGCTATACTGAGCGCTGATTTAATGCCGACAGGTCTCCCACCAAGGCTGCAGATGCTATGTGTGCTCTTTTGGCATGATTATAATAGGTATCTGCCACTCGTGTCGCTTTCTTCTCCTTTGGTCCCTATCTGCCTTCCCATCATTATCTTCTTGTTCCCATTGTCTCATTTACTCAGTTGCAAACAAACATAGCTGTACATTGTTTGTAGATCCTAGCCAGTCTTCATCCCAATCAGGCATCTAAGATATTTGCACCTGTTTTAAATCTCTGAGAATGTGTGCGTGAGCTCGAGTGAGAGTGTGAGTCCCGGGCATGTGTGTTTGTGGACAGCAGCGCTCTAATGCTGTCTGGAGAAAGGGGGTCCTTTGAGAGGCTGCACAGGCAGCAGCTTTAATGACATCGGTGCTGCGGTGCTTTGGTATGTCATCTCTTGGTGGAATTTCTGAATTAATGTCTGCAGCAAGCTGACAGTGAGTTTTGTGTCACGCCTTCCTCTGCAATTTGCAAGCCTTCAGAAAACCCAGCCGCTGTGTTATCTGCTTAGAATTTGGGGAGTTTTTGTGACGATAATTAACAGAGATTCCAGCGAGTCACCGTCTTAGCTGGCTTGCAGAACATCCAGAGCTGCCAGTTCGTGGAGCTGTAATTGGCTCTTGTGAAAGAGCCAAGAATGTACGTGGTTGTCAGTGTCTCACTGCCTGAGGATGTATCTGTGGCTTAGTGGACAGTTTGACAGAGGGCAGAGTGTGTGCTTTTTTTTCTTTTTTTTTTTATAATTCTTTTTTTTTTTTTAGCATTTTCCAAAATCTATCCTAACTTGATATGTTCTCAAATTGTTGTAAGAACACAGATCTTGCGGTTTTCCTCATGACAGGGATTTCTTCCACCCTATCTTTTTCTCTCTTCAGTCTGTCACACATATGAAATGTCCTGTCTCTGTGGAACGTCTTCAGACGTCACTGCTCAGACCACAGGAGACCAGAACACATCTGACAGCTGACAACAGCAGGCCACAAAACCCTAATGCTGCACTCTCACACACACTATTGTGTAGGTTGAGATTGTTTGGGTGCTGTCACAAGAGGGGAAACGTGAACCAGCACAAGACTGGACTGGAAATAGTGATGAAGGGAGATGTGGAGATGGAAGAAAGATAAGGGGATAGAAGGAAAAGAATTTGAGGACCGCTGCTCAAATTAAAAATAGAAGAAAAAGAAAATAAGTGAGGAGAAGAGCATGGGAAGTGAACTAACCAAATTAATGACTTGAATTAATGTTGTCGGTGCTTATCACAGAGTCAGTAAAATAAGGGAGGCCTTGTCTTTTGAGCTTGACTCACCTAATCTGTCTTTTTTTCCTGTTACAATGCCTTCCAGTGTTATTTGTGCAGTAGGTGTAGTCTAACTTGTGAATCAACAGATAAGCCTGCAGCTTCCACCAGCGTTGGCACTCGACTGGGCATTTTCTCCCTGCAGGGAGGTGAAGTGGAAGGCTAGCTCATTAACTAGCCTGTTATCTTACAACCTCAGCCGGGGGGGCTGCTCAATAGGAGCAGTAGATTTTAAAGATCCAAAACTCTTTATCATTAACAGTCAAATTTTCTACACAACGTTGGCACACTGTGGTACTGTTGTAATGTTGACTTGAGCTTCCCTTGGTTAATGTTGGAAAATTAACTTATACTCCATGTTTTTAAAGACTTCCGTAACCAACAGTTAAGTGATTACCTACGTTTGATATTAAACTCCCTGGCCACTTATTTTAGGTTCAGACAAGCCCAAATAAGACACCACAGATCAGTCTTACCTGTACATTTCTTGCAGCATGTCATCAGATAGAGATGCAAGAATTCAGCTTTTTCTTCTCTCGATACCGCTGCCTAAGCTTAGGGTATCAGCTGATACAGTGTAGTGATTCGATACTTTATGCTTCTGGGCCTCCTCGTCTGTAGTTAATAAGACGTCAATCTCCATTTTTTCATCTGCTCTCCAGTCAGTCAGTCTTTGTTAAACACAAAATAAAATGAAAGAAAAACAATATGGAGTACATTTTTTGGAATGCCTTCACTTAAATATGCATGAATTGTGCGTTGCCTTCTGAGCTTGAAAAGATATATTATTTACCCAACATGGGTAAAAAAAATCCATTTTAGTAACTCCTTCTTAAATATAGTAAGTGTGTTAATGTTCGGGTGCAACATGCATCTTCAATAAGGTTACATTTCTGGGATGCACGTTGTTGACACTGAAGGTCTCTGGCTTTTATCCCCAAAACTGTATGTTTTTGTCTTTCTGGTGTTTATGAAATCGGCTGTATCCTCAGGCTCAGCACCGTGAACAGACTCTATTAGCCAGAGTCCTATGAGGGGTGATGTGGAATCCACTAAATCCGAAGGACATGTTACAGTTTTATCTGGATTCTTCTGTTTTTAGAGGTACAAAGCCTGAATACCATTCAAATCAAATGTAGCTTTTCTGCGTATAACACCTACTAAAGCTTTTGATGAGTCATAGTAAATATTCTCTATTATTTATTGCAGTTTTTTTTTCTTTGAGCTGAAGTAAAGAAGAAGTGTATGTGTGTGTGAGTATACTTTACATTAATAAAATATTGGAACCCTGCATTAGTAACCCCTGTGTCTACACCCAACACACATTTAGAGGCTTCATTATTAATGTGGAATCAAAGCAACATGGTAGAGGAGTGTGTGAGTGCAGAACATCGTCGCTAACGCCCACCTAGTAAATAATTGAAGGTAGAGAAGGATGTGCTGTGTGTGTGTGTGTGTGTGTGTATTTACATGCACAGTAATAAGTTGGTGGATGTATGTTACTCATTAGCTTTCAGTTGCTTTCACCTGTTCTCGTGTAATTCGGTACCAGCGAAGCCATTCACAGAGCCAGTTTGTGGATTTGAATGTAGCTGCATTTGCTTTCACTATGTGAACTAGCGATGAAGAAGTAGCCCAGCCACATGATATTCTTCCTCTTTCTTTTCACACACAAAGCATCCATAGGTATACACATCATATAGGCTACACTTTTGATATTTGATTTCAATACAGTTTTAATCTGTTTAAGCAATCCAAAGCAACTTACAACTGCTGTATATGTCAGTGATTGTGGGGAATTTTTCAAAAGCAAACTAGGGGTTAAGCATCTTGCTCAGGGACACATGGTGGATGTGTCACAGTGGGGAATTGAACCCCGGGCTTTCACACCAAAGGCATACATCTTATCCACTGCTCCATCACCACCCCAATGCATGATTTGCCCTCACAAGCAAAGCAGGCTGCTCCAGATTCTCTCAGTTTATCGTGAGGTCAAAGCGCCAGTGATTGAGGGGAATTTTCCAAAGGAAACCATTTTGGTTTGTGTGGTTGGGATTCATAAAACTCAGCGAAAAGGAACAAGTGACTGCACTTTACTGGAACGGACACCTGCTTCTAAATGGATACTGTTGCAAATCCAAAGGGAATAAGAGTAAGTTATCTTAGATAAGTTCCTTTTAACGAAAGTAGTAGGATTGTACTTCCAACTTAAAGGATAAGTCTGGCTATATTCTATATTTTTCTTATTGTCAAGAAATCTCAATGGAGTTATCCTTCTACCAAAGACTGTGTTTGTACTAAAAGCCTAATATAGGTATTTCCTCTGTGCCAAAAACAATTAAAGACACATTAAAGAGCGGCACTGGGTGGCATGCTCCTTCATCATGATGAAAATGGGCACTGCAGTGTATTTTGAGACAATCCCACATACACCGTCCCACTGCGGTAAATGCTCACTATAGCACCAAATGTCTAATGATCCGCAGCAGAAAATAGTCCCCGACAAATCCATGATTTCCTCCTTCTTGAGTAATGATGTCTAAAAACTACAGTGCCCAGCTATGAAACGAATGGGTTTAGAGTTGAGCAGCACAGATATTGGGAAGTTGGAAATTACTAAGAGATGAACTTGAGGATTTTGTACACTAAATGTATCCTTTAGCTGAATCTGGACCAGAACAAAATTAACTTGAGCCATACAGATACAGAAGCCCAGAAGGAAGCGCAAAACAATGCGACAGTGAGTTTAAAATGACATGGTACGCTCAATGTAAAAACAGCAGTGGGACAAAAACACCAATTCAACCAGTTTTGATCCATTCAGTTCTGGGAACATTGGAACCAGCATCTAGC